GTCAATGTAATGCCTAAATAAGGTGATATATTCAACCATTGAAATTATTAAGATCTTTGTAAGGTAGTCTTTAATGATCCAGGGGATGGCAGATGGTCTTTGTAGGAGCGATCAATAAAAAAAGAAAAGAAGAGAGAGCACAATGATCTTGATCAATAAAAACAACCTAAGAAATATCACTCAAAACTCTATAAAATGTGCTCACAGAACCAGGGCATCTGGACCCAATGTTGGACATCCATGCAATCCGGAGTGTAAATCTGTTGTATGTTGGCAATGATTGTGATTGACCTTTTTAAAAACTAGTACTGACTTAAAGGTTCTCAATTAGGCTATCTGAGGCCATACTATTCAAAACAAAGATCCACTAAGTCTCCCTAGCACTCAATTTAGAGAATCCCTTCTATTAGACTAGATGGTATACTTTCTCTACCTAACACCATGAGGCCACTTATATCTTCATTTTGATGGTTAAGAAACAGCCTATAGACACTATGGTAAGGCTGCATTGTTCTGTAAGTCATCTGTGTTTTCCAAATATGGTGCACATAGTTCTGTTCTTTATGCTCCATCCAACATAATATAGCCCACAAGGGCATTGGAGAGCATAGAACACATACTTGGGTTGATGAGATAATAAATTGTTGAATTGTAAATTCTTTGCCATTTTGACTTCTTATATGTTTCTTTTTATGAAGGACAAAATTATATGCACTTAATCTCCTTCTTTAGTATAAAAGGAACCCAATGGTGTAACCAAAAAAGATGAACACAAGAAAAGAGGGTTATGGTCAAACCAGTGTAATTTTTGAAGCCAAAAACACCAGTGGGGGATATTTCCCAATAAAGGCGTGATCAATACATGACTGTGACTTGTAGGGATATGAATAGTGTATATAGTCTCTGGTGCAAGAGTTAAGTTCAGACAAATTATCTACCAAATCATATTAAGTCAAGGTGGTGGTAAATTTAAATCACTGGAGGAACATTAAGGATCTCAGTGGTATTTATCCAATCTGACATTTGAGAGTAGATTAGAATCTCCCAAAATTAAGATAATTTTTACTTGATGGCATGCCAACATCAAGCAAATATGCATTAAAAAGGGAGCAGGGTTCACATTGGGAGTATAACAAGCGAGGACTGTGAGTTGTGTGTGTGTTTTTTTTTTTTCTACAGTGAAAGGCAGAAGTCTTTTAGATAATTGTTGCATTAGCTTAAAATACTGTAAATAGGGATAATCAGCATTAAAGTATTTGTGAGATGTATGATGAGGGTAAATGTATTTATTGCAGGCAGTCTATATTAACTCAAAGTTTCCTCAAGAAGTGAAATACTTTAACTTGTTTAAAGGGAGAGCTTAGGTCTTGAACTATTATGGAAAGCCAATTAAGAGCCATTACAAATACAAAAGAAAAATAGATGTATTTGCTGACACCATGGGCCCGGGAAAAGCATGGGGGAAGTAGGGTACAGGGAAGATGAGAAAGGAAAGATGAACAAGAAAATGTGAAAATAGAAGAGAACATATTTGGAAGCAAATAACTATAATGTACAAGCCATGAGATGCATAACACATGTATGCTGGTTAGAAGTGTGTGCAAAATGCTAGGAGGGGGTGACATTAAACCACTCTAAATCTAGAAGGTGTCTATAAATGTATAAAGACAGACATTTCATTAACAAGATAAACATATATACTGTAACTATTCAATATATTCTTCTGAGCTTACAATAGCAATTACTTAATTTAGCCTAGTTTATTTAAAGGAGAACTCCAGTCAAAATATTTTTTTTCACCATGCAGTGGGGCTGTGCCACCACTGCATGGATCAACTACTCGTTTTTTTTTAGGGGTGAGCACCAAGCTCATACTCACCTGAGCCACTGATCCTCTGGAAAACCATGCTCCACCACAGTCCAGCAGTGGACTGTTTCTGTCTATGGAGCATGCTTTGAGCATGCTGACATCAGGAACAGTCTATTTACAAGACCAATTGCTTGCGGAAGGGCAGGAGCCGAAGAGAACAATCTTGTCTGGGGGGTCAGGTGAGTATATCTCTGCTGTTCTCTCCTCTGAGCTAGACAAGTAGTTAACCCATGCATTGCAGGTCCAGCCCCACTGCATGAACAAAACAAAAAAAATAATTTGCCCAAAATTCTGTTTTAAAGGAAGATATAGTAGATCCTTATATTTTATTATAGAAAAAAAACATAAAAGTCAACAGTAAGATGAGTGGAATTCAAGGGCTTTGAATCATAACCAAAGTGTTCATAAGTATACTCAAGCAAAGTAACTGATAATAAGAAATGCAATAAAACCAAAAGTAGAACAAGTGTATATGGCTCCAGGGAGTATGACATAATATGAAAAAAGATGTATTTAAGATACCAGGGTGCATAATGTGAAGTGAGAACTAAATCAAACAAATTTATGAGTTAAGATTGTGGGAGAGTGTCCTTCCAGGGACTAGGTGTTTAGCCAAGAGTTTCACTTGCAGGATGTCCATTGCAAAATGTTCAGCTGTGCCAAGATATCAGGGGCTATGCTGGATAATGGTGTACAGGAACTCCAAATATCTAAATGAAACACCAAAAAATGTATGGAGTCAAGGCACTAGCTGAAGCTGTGCTAACATAGTTGATCAATATGTCAATAGTAACATCTTTGGTAGCAACAATATAGTCAGTTTTAGTGGGAATTGTCATCAGAAGTATAGCAACAGACTAACATAACCAGGTAGGAACACTTAAGGCTTAAATGCCAGAAGCATTTGATATGATAGTAATACTAGAAAACCTAAATATAACTGAGGCCATCTGAAAGCTCTGTAAATTGCAAATGGTGAGGCTTTTGGGACTCATGCATGAGGGAGATCTTAGAACACGGTGAGGTAGTCTGGATAAAAGAAGAGGATAGGAGGGTCATGAAACCCAAGCACTGAGATGCCATTTGTGTTGGCAATTCAAAAACTATTTTCTGGAGTCACTTGCATAGGTGTGCAGGTGAAGAGGCTTGGAGCTGTGCTCTTGATATGTAAGGAATAATTTAAGTGAAAAATTCCAATGGTACAGTATGTATTGCTATGTGATTGTAGAATTAGGTAGGTGTCAATCTCCCTCATTTAGCAATAGTAAATGGAGCAATGTTCACAAATAGTTGTAGGCTGTATTTTTTGGAACACAAGATCCAGTCGCTCTCCCCTTCTGATTATAGTATACATTTTTTTTGTGTGGTAGAAATGAAATTTGATGACAAGAAGGGCAGTTATGTTATCTGCGTGTCAATGCTCAATGAACTTAGTCAAACTATGTTTGGCATCCTCTTGTTTGTCCTTAGGAAATTCAATTTTACTTTGTAGGTCTTCCACTTCTTTCCCATGTCCATTGTGGACTGTCATGATTGCACATGTGTGGTGTTTGAAGGAAAAGATACAGTGGCCCAGGTCTTTTATTTCAAGAGTTTAGCAGAAACCTTGTGGGAATCGTTTGCTACCTCTTGACTCATAATGGATCTGACTTTGTGCTGCAGGACCTCAACGGGAGCTAATAACTCTGAAGGATATTACTAAAGGCTATTTTTTAATGAGGCAAAATCTGCAGAGGAAAATCTTGTGGTTTTATGTGCCACATATCCAGTAGCTGAGTATAGGTTTCACTGTTTTGATTGTTGTGGTAATGTCCTTTTCTGAGGTGGGAAGAGCCCGTTTTATGAGAATTAGTACTCATGTGTTATTGAGGGGAGTCATATTTCATTCATGTTTATCCACTGAGAACGTGACGCCATCATGATCATTTTTATTTTAAAAACACTATACTTCAAAGGTAGTTTTTCTAATTTCTTATTTCTTGCACTGTGCATCTCCCACATTAACAGTACCAAACTACCCTCATACATTTAAATTTCTTCTGCCATACTTGACAGAAGGCACCCACCATCCTCTTACCCTCAGTTCACACTATTTAGGCCCATTCATTTAAATGGGCTTCTGTGCCCCATTTGTAGGAAAATGGTGCACACACTTTTCTGAAAACACAGGCTCAGGGAAAAACGCTATGATCTTTTTGACCATGCAGTTTCCCTGTGGTTTCCACACCTGCAAGCACACTATGGGCTGAGATGTGTGGGGGTGCAATTCAGAATGAATGGCAGCCCCGTGTGTCTCACAAGAGCAGTGTGGTTAGGCTACAGGTGGTGGAGGGTGCAGAAACAGGCAATTACTGCACTCACAACCAGCCGGCAGCCTGCAGGCTAGTATGCACAGAGCATCATTCTCTCTGCACCTCACATGCATTCTATTCCTTGATCCAGCCACCTTAAAGTTGTAAGGGAGAAACTTATCTCAGCCTCCACTAGGTACATGACACTCGTTTTTTTTCATAATACTCTTTTTTTTTTATATCAATCTTTTTTATTAAAGTTTATACAAGGTATAAAGGAGTATAGAAAACATACACAAGGAGTAGAGAGAACATACCATATGCATTAGATTATCCAAATATCAGAGAGAGGGCCACAGGGAGCCACATATAGATACGTAGAGAGGCAAACAATCCAGAGTGCAATGAAAGCTATCAAGTAGTTTCCCAAGTCTAATGGCGGTCTTGATCTTCCAGACGTCAGTAAATATTACCAGGCGGCCCATATAGCACAACTGCCGAAATACCATGCAACTTATGAAACTCCACAATGGGTTTTCCTGGAATCGATTGATTGTGATCCCTTATCCATAGCTAATCTTCTCTGGCTAAGACCTATAGATTGCCGTCCGATTACTAACCCTATCACTAGAGATGAGCGAAGTATTCAAAAATTCGATTCGGCTGATTTGGCGAATTCAAGGAATAAAGTTGATTTGAGGCGAATATATTTGCTGCGAATTTAACTTATAAAAAGGGTGTTTCTAGGCTTCAGAGAGCATTTATATTAGTGCAGAACACTGTACCTTTAATTTAAATGCCCTTGGAGTCTGCTGGGGAAGAGAAATAATACTGTCAGTCAGTATGACATGCAGATGAGTGCCGTTGATCTTAGAATCATCGCACACTTCACTCATTTGGGCAGTCACGGGGCCAAAACCAGAGTGTGGAGCCACAGTGTGGCGGTGGAGGCAGCAGCAATGGGAGGCCATACAGCACCCTATGACAAAATGGAACCCACCAGCAGTGTGAGGAGACCTGAAAGTGTCACATGGCAGAGTGTGGCGATGGAGACAGCAGCAATGGGAAGCCGTACAGGGACCCATGAGACACTCTGGACCTGGCAGCAGCATGAGGAGGCGGTACGGGGGCCCATGGCAGATTACGGGCTGGCAGCAGCAATGGGAGACCCGTAATCTGCCAGCACCCTATGACAAAATGGAACCCACCAGCAGTGTGAGGAGATCTGAAAGTGGCATATGGCAGAGTGTGGCGATGGAGACAGCAGCAATGGGAGGCCGTACAGGGACCCATGAGAGACTCTGGACCTGGCAGCAGCATGAGGAGGCGGTACAGGCCTGGCAGCAGCAATGGGAGGCCCGTAATCTGCCAGCACCACCCTATGACAAAATGGAACCCACCAGCAGTTGTGAGGAGACCTGAAAGTGGCACATGGCAGAGTGTGGCGATGGAGACAGCAGCAATGGGAGGCCGTACAGGGACCCATGAGACACTCTGGACCTGGCAGCAGCATGAGGAGGCGGTACGGGGGCCCATGGCAGATTACGGGCCTGGCAGCAGCAATGGGAGGCCCGTAATCTGCCAGCACCCTATGACAAAATGGATCCCACCAGCAGTGTGAGGAGACCTGGAAAGTGGCACATGGCAGAGTGTGGCGATGGAGACAGCAACAATGGGAGGGCCGTACAGGGACTCATGACACACTCTGGACCTGGCAGCAGCATGAGGAGGCGGTACGGGGGCCCATGGCAGATTACGGGCCTGGCGCAGCAATGGGAGGCCCATTAATCTGCCAACACCCTATGACAAAATGGAAAACCCACCAGCAGTGTTGAGGAGACCTGAAAAGTGGCACATGGCAGAGTGTGGCGATGGAGACAGCAGCAATGGGAGGCCGATACAGGGACCCATGACACACTCTGGACCTGGCAGCACCATGATGAGAGCGGTATAATAGGAGGCCTATGGCAGATTAGGGGCCTGGCAGCAGCTATAGGAGCCCATACTCTGCCAGCACCCTATTATCCAACAAAATTCAACACAAACCAGCAGTTGAGGAGACCGAAAGT